CCTTGTCACGAGTCTGCATCTGGATCCTACATATACAGCTGCTAGAGGAGTGGCCTCCAAAGCTTTAGATTGTGCGGGTCCTGGTCTGGACACCACCTGAAGAACTGTGCCAGGTGTGGGGTTAAGGTAAGGGCACAGATTCAAAGAGCAGCATAGCCCCTTAACAGGAAGGACATGTAGAACACCTGAGGGCAGTGAGAGTGACTGAAAGAGGAGCCACCTGAAAGGAGCCACCAGCTTCTAGAAGACAAGACAAAAAGAGCATCACAGTTCAGCTTCTAGAAGACAAGACAAAAAGAGTGGCACTGTTCCACGACTGGACCGATGTGCCTGGGACACGTGTGCTGCAAGTCAGTGGGTTCAGACACAGCGGTGAGCCTCCCTGGCAGGAAGTCCAGGTCAAACCCCTTTCTTCAGGTGTCACGTCTGATGTGGGCTAACAGAGGAGAAGCGACCGACACTGTACGCGAATTGGACGTCAGCGTGGCCACTGACACTTCAGCTGAGTGGACTAACACATTAACTCGGGGCCAAGGGCACAAATGCATCTGTTAGTGTTATGCACATCTAACAAATTTACTTTACTGTTTCAAAATTGATTTTGACCTTTGATTGCGGCCTAAAGACTGACTGAAGTTGGGTTGGTGTTTGAGGGAACAGTTGTCTTAATCTTCACGTCTAATCTGGAAAGTTCTTTAATCTGACAGCGTTCCCCCAGCTGTCCAGTGTATAGTGTTTTGGTTTCTGCGATGTGCACCAGCAGCTCCACAGCTCTGTTGTTGTGCAGAGATATTCATTCAGTCTGGTGACTGAGACATGAGTTTCCATCTGAACAGAGCAACGTTCTGCTGACGATGCTCCGAGGAAAGCGGAGTCTCCATCAGTGCTCCTCGGATACTTTAGTAATGGTACTAATACCACTCTGTACTCCTCTGAAAAAGTAAAAGTACATGTAACTACTTCAAGTGATGGGACTTTATTATGTGCCAGCACCGACTGAACCGATTTATACTGCACAGGACTCGTTGACTGTCACGATTAGCTGGGCGAGCAGCTGGTTTGTGCTCATCGCTTCCACTGTGGGTTAAACCTCAACATGATTCACTTTGTTGTGATTTAAGACAAAGACACTTTTGTGTCACTGTATCACAAACACAAGTGGGTCCAGCTGGACCCGTCTGGCTCTGATCATGTCCTGTGTCGTCATCAGGTCCAATTAGCTTTGGGTCAGACCGAGTCCTTGGAAAAACCTCCAGACCTGACACGCTCCTGTGTTCCAGGTTTAACTAAAGTCTTTGTTTCTGATGTTTCATTTCACCAACAAGGGATCTGCAGTTCTGACCAGCGCATGTGTTAAGTCCAAAATCCACCTCTGTAAATGTGAAAAAGCAGCAGCTAAAGCAGGATGGACTCGAACTGCACAGGGTTAGTTTCACCTCTTAATCCACGGAGTTTCCCAGAGTTCTCTGGGTTTTTCAGAGCACTCCAGGGGGTTTTAGAGTAACCCTGTTCCAGGGTTTCCGTGTGCTGTTGCTCATCAGCATTTCTGTCAGGAAGCTGACTGTTGACGGTCAGTGGCGGCTGTTTACACAAATGTTATGAGCAGAGACGAGACAAACGCCACACATCTGGACACCTGCTGGTGCTAAAACTCCTCGAGATGGCCCCACCTGTGGCCCCGAGCCTTGAAGGCCTCTGAGTTTTTGTTTAGCTGCTGCTGAGATCCAGAGGAACAGCTCTTACTGCTGAAAAGAAAAGGCGTGTTTCACTGAACATGGTGAATTAGAAATGAGGGGAACCCCGTGAGGGACAGGTCGGACTCTGTCGGTGTGTCCGCAGTAAAAGGGTTAAATTCTACAAGCATCCTTTCTGTGTAAATGGACACCGCTCACCTGCCCACTCCCCTCCGGACCAGCCCCACTGCAGCAGCGAGCGAGCGCACTGTCCGGGAACTTACTCAGTTTGCTCCAGAGCCGAGTGAGACCACCCGGGCCCAGACTCTGATTTACCCGGGTTATCTGGTGCTGAGACTGGGACAGGAGACGCAGCAGAAACGCAGAGACAGACGGGACCTATCGGGTCGGGTCGGGTCTTCTCTGGTTTGGATTTTTTCCTCCCTCGGATCCGAACCCGCTGCGGGTTTTCGGAGACTGCCCCAGTTCTCCCGTGTTAAGAAGGCGCCGAGGACACCTGAAGTCTCTGTGCGTAAATCTGTGCGTTTGGAAAGCTTTTTGGAGACTGACTGACTGATTTACAGGCGGGTCATGTGTCGGACGGTGTAGGAGTCCAGTTCTCACCATGGAACCTGTTCAGCTCCTACTCATGATCACGATGATGAAGGTGAGCGGAGCTGCCGTGAGGCCGCAGGTCAGTGAACTGACATGGCTTTGTTTAACTCTTGTTTAAGTTTTTCTAATGAAACTCTGCACGGTCCGGAATCTTCGACAGACACCGGACAGTTTGAGCTCAGTGGTCCCCACACTTTGTCACACTGGAACTAGAACCAGTTAAATTGGTTAATTTACAGAACAGATCCTTAACGTGCCGCTGTTTTCCTACGTAATTTGTTTTGTGTCACAGTAAACTGAATCTCTTTGGACACGTTGGACAAAACAGAGATGTGTCATTGAGGTAGCTGTGGTGCACAGGAACAGAACAGAAAATAAGGCTTCAGCTGAGGAGGGTAGAACCAGGGTGGTCAGGTCCGGAGTGAGGGCTGCTGCTGTGTCAGACGTCCATGCCAGGATTCACTGATTGATAAAGAAAACAGCCTTCAGTGTAGAATGAGGGCAACAACCATCAGCTGCAGCCTGTTCAGTAAACACCTCATGTCTAATAGGATCATTCAGTGTAACACGTTAGAAAAAGGGCTGCAGCTCCACAAAGCAAAGATTTTACCGACAAACTGAAGGAAAGAAATGGAAACTGCAGACTTTTCTGGAAGCAGCAGTGAGATCAGCCGCTTTTAGTCTTGCAATTCAACAATTCAACAAAATCAACAATTTCTCATGCCTTTGTGAACATGCTGTCTCTCTGTGGATGTGGTGTCTCTCTGTGGACATGTCATCTCTGTGGACATGTCATCTCTGTAGATATGCCATCTCTCTGTGGACATGTCATCTCTGTGGACATGTCATCTCTGTAGATATGCTGTCTCTCTGTGGACATTTTGCATATTGTTGCGTAATGTCTCTTTGTGGACGCCTATGTCTCTGACAGCATTTTGCTAACACACTGGACATTTTGATGACATTTCGGTCATTTTGGACGCTGATGTGTTTTTTGCCAGTGAGTCCCATGGGCCTCTGACCCACTGGGCCCCTAGGCCTGGTCGGGGCCTGAGCAGTTACCCGAGTAGAGATAAGGGGTGGGGGTGGGTGGGGGGGGGGCTGTTGTGGACCTCCTCGTTTTGGACTGCTCCTCTTACAGACAGATGACAAATGAAAACCTGAATAACTGAGCAGTCTCCTCCAGGATGATAGTGCCAGCCCCCGTCCACAGGACATGAGGGGTCCCTGACTAGTCTGAGGATGACCATGATGTGAACCAGATGCTGTGGCCTTCCCAGTCATCAGGTCTCAGCACAGGTGAACAGCTATGGGAGATGTTGGAGCGACGTGTTAGACAGCGTCTCCACCACCATCATCAAAACACCACATGAGGGAACATCTGGTGGATGGTGTTCATCCCTCCATGAGACTCAGAGACTTAGACACTCAAGGTGGAGTGTTCTGGTGCACGTGGCGGCCCAGCACCTCACCGAGACCCCGTCATCTGCCTGTTCACTTGGAATACCTGTCTGCTACTGACCTGTCCCTGCTCACCTGCTGCTCCTTAGTAGACAGCAGCAGTGTAAAGAGGTGCGTTGGCTCCTCCTTCCTTCAGACAATGTAAAAAGCCTTGGAATGAAAAACTCTGGGGGGAGCTCTGTCAGTGAGATTTCTGATCAGGCTCAGGAAGTGGTGAAATGTGTTTTCGGTTTGGTTGGTGGGTGAATGAGGGGGCCCTTGGTCCAGCTCACATGTGGGTGGCAGATCTCTGAGTGGGATCAAAGGAAGAAGAAAGAAGAGTTTCACATGTGTGTGGAGTCAGTCGCTGCCACGTGTCACCACGAGTCCATCAGAAACGTATGAACGAACATGTGGAGAAACTTCTGTCTTTGGTCAGTGAGCTCAGAGACGTTGTAGGTTTTCTTTCTCATGTCACCCTGACCCCAGCTGCACCTGGCGGACGTCATTGCTGCAGCTGATTGGTTAGAATCCTGCTGTTTTGTGTGTCTGCAGGTGTCTGGCAGCAGAGTGACAGAAATGTTCACTGACACTTTGGTTCATGGAGGAACAAGAAACAAACGTTACACCATCAACCCGCTGGGACATAGGTGGACTCACCACAACATCACGTACAGGTAAAGGGGCGGAGTTAAGCTCTCATACACAATTTATGTTCACCAGACATATATATATATAAAGCCTGAAACACGTTGGTCTAACAGTGAGGCCATTGTTTTCAGTTGTGGCCTCTTCACAGTGTGCAGCAGGTGAAGTGGTGCCACAGACTCATGCCCTTTGCCTGACAGACTTTATTCAGGGCACCGCTGACCACCACTAATAAACCTCTCTGCTGGTTCTTTAACTCAGAATCATTAAGTTTCCCAACACCCTGAACATGGAGGACACCAGAAAGGCCATCAGCATCGCCTTCACCAAATGGAGCGACGTGTCTCCGTTGACCTTCACCGAGGTTACCAACAATAACGCCACTGCTGACATCACCATTGGTATGAACAGAGACCGGTTAAGTTAACAGAGAAGGATGGCTGATGCTTTGCTTTTCTTTTCTCTCTCCTCTATCCACTCACCCCAACCGGTCGAGGCAGAAGGCCGCCCACCAAGAGCCAGGGTCTGTCGGAGGTTTAGGTTTCTTCCGTTAAAGGGAGATGACTGTTATTGTGAATTGGCGCTATACAAATAAGTTGGATTGAATTGAATTGAAAAGAGGACCAGAAGTGTAGGTTCATGTCTGTTTACAACAAACAGCTTCAACGGGGGGGGGGGGTTAATAGCTGGGGGACAACAGTGGAGGTCTATGACACAGAGCGATGAGCTGGACATATTGCGGTGAGGCCACCATGCTCACTGGTGCTGCTGGTCTCTGAGCGGGGTTGGTGAGGAGTAATGATCACCAGGTGTCCAGAAATGAATTTAGGTCAGTGCTGTGACAAGATGGGAACGTGTGTGTGTGTTGGTGTGTGTGCGCCTCAGGTTTCTACACCTTCAACCACACCGACTGCTGGTGGTCTCCTCTTCACCCGTGTTTTGACGGTCTGAACGGCGAGCTGGCCCATGCCTTCCTGCCACCACGAGGTGAAATCCACTTTGACAACCATGAGTTTTGGATCCTCGGCAAGTCCAGGTTCAGCTGGAAACAAGGTAAGTGTACGGCCATAGTGCCACAAGCAGCAGCACATGTGCTCTGGGCTGCAGCGTCACAAACTGGAGTCTCCTAAACGTGTAGTGCACTGATGGGTTCTAGTCCAGTGGAAGTTTAATGGAACTTACCTGTTCAGTACATGTGGGACATTTCACTTTTTCCACTTCACTGGATAAAAACAATACTTTTTTTACATAATTTTTTTTACATTGAGTGTGTTAAACCACTCAACTGCATCATGTCATCTTTCTTGTTCCTGTTGTTCTCTTGAAGCAGAGAAGCTTGGGACAGTGTCCTCAGGTGAAGTCAGACCCTTTTCTAATCATGTTTCATATAACTGTCTCCAACATGAAGAGGTGTGTGTGTTCCAGGTGTACCTAGCTGTCCAGTATGTACTGATTTGCACAAGTTAACAAAATGTGATTTGGTAAATGGTCTTATACTTGTATAGCGCCTTTCTATGCTTTTTTACAGCACACTCAAAGCGCTTTCACACATTATTCGGCCATTCACCCATTCGCACTCCCAAGCACTCACGCATTCACACACCGGTGACATCACCGGGAGCAACTGGGGGTTCAGTGTCTTGCTCAAGGACACCTCGACATGTTGACTGGACAAGCCGGGAATCGAACCGCTAATCCTCCGGCTAGGAAACGACCCGCTCTACCTCCTGAGCCCCCAAAACACTTACCTTTAAAAATTTTAAAAACACTTCTTAGATTAGTTGACCATCAGCTTGTGAACCAGTCTATAGGAGACAGACTGACACATGTGAAGACCTTAACTCACAGTATTGTGTGTAACTGTAGCAGACCAGCTGCAGTTTCCCTCCCAGTGACCCAGACCTGATGTGTCCACAGCAGTGTGAACAGACCAGGTGTCCTCAGACCAGATCTGGGCCACCTGCGTATGTGCTCCTAGACCTGATTCCATCAGAACATCAGATCAGAATCCATGTGGTCGTTTTAACGTCTCCTCCTCTGCACATACGGCCCGTCGTCATCATTCGGCATCGGCCCCTCACAGACCAGTAACAATAAACATGGAGGAGAGTGACGACAGCGACGGGGTCAGTGGAGAGACCAGGATCTTTCACATGTGGTGGACGTTTATGGAGAAGCTTCTGATCAGGACAAACTGGAAGGAACATATTGTAACCCAACGGTTTGGGAGGAAACTGGGCCATTTGGCCATCGCACACACGACCTGGTTGTTATTCTTGTGCACACGTGGCTCACATTTCACTTACACCTGTGCACGCGTGGCAGTTTGGGAGCTCAGCAGTGTTCACACCGGAGCCGGGTACATGGCGCCGACACACACTGACGGGAAGCAGCGACACAACGAGGTCAGAGCTGAGCGTTAAGGCCTGGGATGTAGATGCAGCCTTAAACTACAAAACCTGACTTAAGGTAAAAGGGGACCTGTTCAGTTTAGGAATCTAACTTTTACACCATACACAAAATGTCATGCAAAACATGGTCTTATATCACTGTGCTCTTGTTGTTACATTAGAGGATAGGAAGGGACACACACTGCATCCTGTTGCAGTCTTTCAGCCATTTGTTGCCATGTACATGTCACCATATAATCCCATTGGGACGTCTCTTTGCAGGGGTGTGGCTCAACGACCTGGTCCAGGTGGCGGCTCATGAGATCGGTCATGCTCTCGGGCTGTGGCACTCCAGAGACCCCCAGGCTCTCATGCATCCCAACGCCACTTACACCGGACAGAGGAACATTGCTCAGGATGACGTCTGGGGCATCCAAAGACTCTACGGTCTGTTACACGTGTACTCCTTCAGTGTCTCTGTACTGGAGAATCATAAACAACAGGTCCCATACACAGAAAAACTGCCTGCAGCAAAGAGGCTCCTCAGATGTTTTAGAAGTGTGACAGTGAAAAACTGCAGGTAAAAATGAGCGTTCCAGTCCAAAGGCCGTCGTCAGCACAACGGACAGAGCCTGTAATTTCACAGACATAAATAGTTGATAGCCTGACTACCTGTTTATGTCTGTGGAATTACAGGCTCTGTACGTTGTGGCGACGAAGGCACCTGCCGTTTTTCACTGTCACACTCTTCATGATATAAATGTGTGTCTGTGGAACATGTGTTTAGTCTAAAAACTAATGCTGCACTGCACAGTTTCACCAGTCAAAAGACACTGTGCTCTTATTTATACTGTGACCTCTGATGGGAACACTTCTACAGTGAAAACTTGATCAGAGTTGTGTCTACAGGGTGTTTGGACAAGAAGCGAGTGTGTGATCCCTGGGCTCGACTCGGCTTCTGTGAGCGCAGGAGGACCTTCATGAAGAAGAACTGTCCTCGGCGCTGTGACCTCTGCTATGGTGAGTCCACATCACCTGACCTCTGACACACTGTGATCAAATCAAATTTTATTTGTATAGCACCAAATCACAACAAAAGTCATCTCAGGACACTTTACAAACTAAGGTCTAGACCTTACTGTTATCAATATTATTACATAGGGAAAACCCAACAAATCCCCCTTGAGCAAGCACTTGGTGACAGTGGGGAGGAAAAACTCCCTTTAACGGAAGAAACCTCCGACAGACCCCGGCTCTTGGTGGGTGGCCTTCTGCCTCGACCGGTTGGGGTGAGTGGATAGAGGAGAGACAAAAGAAGAAAAGCAACAAGACACAACAATCAAACACTGATCAGGTCGATGTGGCCGGTGACTGCTCGTCAGAGATATAGAGCTCCAGGGCAACCTGCAGAAAGTTACAGGGAGAGAGAGAGAGGACACACTACGGGAGAGAGGAGACAAAGTTAGTAATGTGTAATGGTGGCATATAGAAACAT